TTAAATGTTTTGTCTGATAGCCTCCAGTTTGTTTCCTACATTAGCAATGAAGTCTCTCTGTGACTATTTTCTTTGGAGAGTTTGTTTCTTTAGAAATGTTTATTGTTAGTCCTGACCTGGAAAGACAGATAGTAAACCACAGTCCCAAAATGTGGAGTAAGGCTGGATTTATATATAAAATGGATAAGGTGCAGTGTAGCTGCTCCATCTATTTTTACAATCTTGACAATCAGTGCTGGTGGCCATGTGGTCAATTTTTCTGTGGCGCTGTTGCTACAGGCTCTTTTGGTCATTCTAGATAGCTACTGCCCGAGGGAGGTTATGCCTGTAAAGTCGTTGCATGACTCAGAAATATAAGTTTTCCTAGTTATTAGCATGCTTTCCATGTGCTACTTCTGACACTAAGAAATATACAGGACTTTTCTAATTCAGAACTAGTTAGTGGGTTGGGCTGTGTCACTTGAGTTGACAGCATCTGCTGGCAAAGCAAATAGTCTGCAGTTCGCAAATTTATGAGACATTTGGCAAAAGACACGAGGAAGAGTGAAGGCAGTGGTCATCAATATGGAGTAAACTTCTACTGGGGTCAGAAGGTAGAGGAGAGCAGAGTCCACAGGAAGGAAAGGATCTTACAACCATATTCTATACGATAAAAATGCAATAAAGAAAGGAGGTCAGGTATTTCCCTGTAGGCATCACACACTGCTGATTTGCTGCTGAAGAAAGGGATGGTATATTCAACTCCTACTTCAATAAACTTTGTTTCTCTTTCTTTGGGGGGAGGCTATAGAAAGCATCTTTTACTCTGTAATCTAAGTCAATGCAAGAATGAGTCTCTTTACAGAAAATATAATTATAGGTGGTCATATTGAAATAAATCTGTTTCATAAAGAAAAAAAGAGCCCTTTTATTATGTGTTTTTACTCAAGGAATGAAATCACATTAGAGCCATGCAGGCTAGATTGTCTAGGTGTGGCTCAGATTTCTAAATCTAATAACTGAAGGCAGACACGTTCGTCTTTACAGGGTCCCCATTGCAACTAAAATATCCTGCTCTTGTAAACAGCTGTATGTCTGTCTCATTCCTCCCCTTGGCATTGGCCTTCTCAAGGGCAGAGATCATTAGTTGTTCAGCCTAGTGCCTAATTACCCAGCAGAGAATTTATCTTTGTATCAATTTAATGAAAATTTAGAATCAATCTGAATGTTGGGAAAGTTCCTACCCCATCCAGATGCCTGCAGGAAGATTGCAGAAGTACATCCTCTAGAGATACACAAGGAGTCTCAAAAAGTTCAATAAAAATGCATTTTATAAAAACAATGCGTGAATTCAATTTTTTTCACTGAAATAAACTTGTACTTTAATTCCATTTTTTTACAGACTTTTTTAATTGCCAGAGACAGAGACATAAGAGTGGAAGAGAGAGCTAGAGAGGGAGAAAGTACCCCCCAGGGGGGTATGGTCACACCATAATCCCTTTTCCAGTTCACCATTCTGTTGTGGTTTTTGAGTACACACACTCGTACCTACTGTGTTTTTCTTTTTTAAAAAAACATATTTTTTATTTCAATTTCTTTTATACATTCAATCACTTAAGTCACTTAGTTTACAAAGTGAATATTCCAACATGCTAACATTTCTCACCAATCCAGTTGGGAATACTATGCACATCATCAACAACAGATAATAACCCATCTCTCAGTCCCACAAATGCCCTGCCACTCCATTTATCTCCTCAATGTCCCTTCTCAGTCTCTCATCTTTCACCTACCCTCTTCCCACACTGTATCTGGTATTTATAACCATTTTCTATTTTTCTATGTCCTCTAGTCATTCAGTTTTGGCCATAGAGTGCCGTACAAATTAAGTGGAGACATACCATGTCTCTCCTTCATAGCCTGGCTTGCTTCACTCAGCAGTCAATCTATATTCACCCACTTTCTATCAAAAGCCAGGGTCTTTTTTTTATGGCTGAGTAGTATTCAATAGAGTACATGTGCCCCAGTTTTTCAATCCATTCATCTGTTCATGGACACTTGGGTTGGTTCCGTGTCTTAGCAATTGTAAATAATGCCGCAATAAACATGGATGTGCAAGCACTTTTCCAACTAAGGATTCTTCTGTCTTTTGGGTAGATACCAAGGTGTGGGGTTGCTGGATCATATGATAGTTCTATTTGTATATCTTTGAGGAATTTCTAAATTGTTCTACACAATGGCTGTACCAATTTACATTCCCACCAGCAGTGTAAGAGAGTTTCCCTTTTACCACATTTAAGCCAGCAATTTATTTAAATTTATTATTTATATTCATTCACTATACATCATTACAACATACAAAATGAGATTTCCCATCCAGAATAAACTGTGTATTGGTTCAATCGAGCACATCAACATATGTGTTATTGTCAACAAATAATTTTCCATTTCTTGCTTCCTGTATATTTTGCCTTTTTTTGCCATCCTTGATTCCCTATTTCTCACCCTCTGCCATGTCCCACCTTCTTCCCACACTGTCTCTGGTATCCATGGTTGATTTCTATGCCTTTTCTCCCCATTTTATTGATTCGCTAATAAACTTAATCTAAATATTTCTAATAGCAAGCCTAGCTGATATACCTGCTGTGTTTTCAAGCTGCTGAGGTGGGACTTGAAATGTAGTCAGCCATATGGAATCCAGCTCCCCCAACTGAGAGACCATGGAGCTGATCCATGTGCCAACTTTGTAAAGTCCCCTCCTACACCATCTCAGAAGTTACTCTTCTTCAAAGTCAGTTTTGCAAAGGCCCTTCCAACCACCTATCAGGCAAAACTAGGCTCTTAAACAGTGTTTGAGGAGTCAGCACTTCTAAAACTCTTAACTATAGAAGTAAGCTTTGGACTTCTCCAATAATCTCAGAAAGGTAGTTTTCCTTAGAGGAAAGAAAATCCCCCCAGGGAAGATACTTTTCTTCTTTATTGGCCATAATCATCTGCCTGGTTGATCTGAATAGCAGGGGTTGCAGCACTAATGTGCTTATCTGATAAGGATGCACACAACACTGCTGGCCAAGGCCAAAAATGGGCCTTTGCATGCAGAGAAGGGACACACTGCATGATTCAGCAACATCTGTGGCTTTCCCTTCAGAAACATTAAAGGGCAGGGAACTGGAAGTCAACTCAGTCAGAAAGCCAGCCATAAGGACATAAGCAAATAGAGTCATGGAGTGTCTGAAAGTACTCCCCTGAGATTTTTTACCTCCCTAGAGTCTAGACAATTGAAGACCTTGGTTAATTTCTTCTTGATTCTTTACAGGAAAACCGTGTTGGTTTGGGTAGATGGAGCACAATGGAATATAGTGTTCTAGAGACTTCTGAGTCCTCTCCAGAACATATCTGTACCATAAATGTGGGCAAATTGACTAGACTCATAAGCTGAAGCTTACAGGGCAACTGTGATTTTTATACATGACAGATAGTGATTAGTTAAAAATAAAGTTATTAATGTGATGCAGAAAAATATGCAATAACTATTACAGAAATTTAGCATAAATGGTGATAAGTTTGAAATATGAGACAGAAGAGTAAAAGTTGCCATACCCGTGATATTTTATGCCCTATTTTTTTGTGTCAGAGTTGAAAATCATTAGGTTTATTGCTCAAGTTAAAGTTTGTTCAATGTTTATTCAACTTAATTTTTTATTAATCTGATTAAAGTTTGCATTTTGAGTAAGCCACATTCAACTATTACATGAAATATAAATAATTTGCAGAGTAATCAAGTATGAGTGCTCATTTCAATCTGCACCTAACTACAGTATATTTTATCTAAATTCAGGTGCAAGCCATATAATATAATGAAAGTAGTTCAACTTGAACTCTCAAAGGATGTTGCTTATTAGCATCTTCATGATTAAAGTAATATATAGTACTAAAACTTAAATTCATTAAAGAGGAAAAACTGGCATGCCATTTGAAATATGAGCTTCTGGAGCCCATATTGTGATCACTGCATCTCTTTCACAGCAAACTTAGGGTTAGTCAGGAAAAAGTTAGTATCTGGTTGGCATCCTTGTTATACTAGAATTCATATTTAGAAAAAGAATTTATTGAACAGGCCATAGAGAAAGGCTTACCAATGACTGTGTTGGAGAAAAATAACCTGAATTTATTTGACCTATGTATTATATATTATGTACCTAGGATATGACTATTTAGTGCTAAGCAGGATTCAAGTATAAGAGACAATATGTCTATAAAGCTCTGCCTTTTGAGGAGCTTTAAATGGTTCAGTCTGTGTGGTTTGATAATACCTGCATGCATGGAAACTGCTAGAGAAAGTGCAAGGAAAATGGGGATGGGGGATCACTTAGGAGTCCTAGATAAAGGAAGATAATCTTAAGTCAGACATAGATGAGGAGAGCCAGAACTGATTGACCAAGAGTGAGGGAATGCAAGAGGCAGAGTGCAGATTTAGACAAGGGTAAAGTGGAGTTGGCATGGGGTATATTGAGAATGATGAAGCCATGCCAGCTTATTCGAAAGGAAGGGTTTCTAGTGGTGAGTCTGGAGAGAAACTGTTGAGTACTCAGAGTGGAATCAGGTAAAGCTGAATCCCATCTTGAGGCCTAGAGAGATTAAAGGACTTTCCTTAAATGGGGCAGAGACATAACTCAATTTGAAAACCATCCATAACAGATGAGATGACATCGTTGTGGTGTCATCTTTAATTTTCTAAAACACAAACCAGTGCATAAAAAGGACATGTGACTATCCAAGCTCTGTTTGAAATAGATCACAAACTATCCTATAGGAATAATATATAGTTGTCATGCAATGTCTTTCTTCTTCCTCCTCCAAATCTATTAATGACAGAAAAACATAATGGCACTCTTATCATGCTAGATGCTAACATCACTATGGTTAAACTGTCTATAGATTGCCATGACAATCCCTTCGAAGATAAAAATAAAACTGGTATTCACAATCTATGTTTACCTAGAGTTTATTTTGTGTTCTAGGCTCTTCAGTGGCCAACAAGGAATTATTATTCAAAATTATAACACAAGATCCATTCTCACTGTTACCAATGTGACGCAGGAGCACTTCGGCAACTATACCTGTGTGGCTGCCAACAAGCTAGGCACAACCAATGCGAGCCTGCCTCTTAACCGTAAGTAACACTGTGTTGCCAGAATGCTCCCAGGAACCTTTTGGCTTCTATACACTCAGTAGAGATACAACCTAACAATGCAATATGCTCATTTTAGTCACAGTCAGATGTGTCACATTCTTTACCCAGAGGAAAGTTTACCCCCAAATAATGTGGGTGACTTTTGTAATTACTGTAAAAATCTACATGGTGAATAGAAATGTCTCTTAGAGATGAGAAAAGGAAAATAAAATTGTAATAATAGTGCTAACTGAAAAATGTCTTCTGACTGTTGATGGTTTAATGGAGTTTTATTTAGTTCAATTTTTTTTGTAATGTGTTATGTAATCTTTAAGCACAGGTTAATATGACTTGAATTTACTCACAGTTGTTTTTCTCTAGACATTCATTTGGAATGAACAGAATTTCACATGGTATTAAAAATAATTAAATAGTAAGTAAATTATTTTGGACAGAATATTTATTCATATAGATAATGTTTTTACTCAAAACTGTACTTTGAAATACAACTTAAGGTTTAACTAAATTAAATACATTTGTAATGTATCTTACTTCCTAAGGACTAGAAATGAATAAGGAAGAACAAAGGATGTGTTAGAATGAAAGAAATCTACATTCCTCCTGCTATTAATTTTAGTGTTTTTATAAGGTGTAACCTACAAGTTGTTACCACTGTAAAAAATTCCAAATTTTAAATCAAATGTTTCTCAGAATGCTCAAAGACAGGAGATAGTACACTGTCTTTTCCATTTCATGAAGTTATCTGGATGGTCCTTATCTTTTATAGTCAATATATTTATAATACCTCAACATATGTATATTTCTGTTATCATCCTGTGATAGTAAACTATCCCTGAAAAAGGCTAATACTGTGTAGTTCATCACAGACGTGATTATTTTCATTTACAGATGAGATACATTATGTTCCCCCTATTTAAAATATGGTATAACAGGTTTCATGATTTATGAGTTGTGAATTGCCATGATTTAAGAACTTCTGATGTTAAATTAAATGTATCAATTTATTTTCTAGCTTAATATCTCTTAATATTTTTAAATGTTCAACTCCGAATAAGACAAACATTACTTGCCATACAATAGCTATAGTAAAATTTACATAAGTTTTTTCTACAAGGATAACTTACCTAGTATAATTATGAATAAGATACATGATCAAAAATATTATGAAACAGTGTGAATTCCAATTTAATGCGAATATTGATACTTCTTTTATGTATTACTAATGTTTTACATGGCTTAAATATTCAAAAACCTGAAGGAATAAAGAAATTAAAAAGACAAAGTAAAGTATAAGGTTTAATAACACATTAACTTTTTGTTATTAAGTGTGTAGGTTACTTCCTGATTTTCAAAACTGAAGCATTAATGAATGTGACAAATTAGGAATGAATGTCACTTATTTAAATGTTTGTTCTACTCTGGCATCTGTAACATTATCTTCTCATAATAATACACTGCTGGAAAGGTTTCCAAAATTGGGATCTTCGGAGTGGACTTTCATGATCCTCTGCCAATGATTTCCTATCATTGAGGTGCTACTGAGAACTAGCATAATTCATCAATTTGTTCATAAAGATAAAATATGCTAATTTTGTCTGTAATTATCAACATAGCCCTGGACATTTGAAGAAAAAATCTATGTGTTCAGTACTCTTGTTTAGTACCTCATCTCAAGCTATTTTTGCAATAAGCATTTCTATATATTTACTGTATTTTTTTATATATAGTTAGAGTTCTTTGAGAAGACATGATCAATGTGTTATTATTTTTTCCATATAATCAAGCGTAGTGCCTGCTATTTAATAGGCAAATAGTAAAATTTTAGTGAATAAATGAATTAAACATTAAGCAAATAAATGGATTAATGAATAAATGAACTTTGTTTTAGCTGCAAGTGTGAACTTATAGCCTCTAGAGATATAGGCAATATGAGTATAATTATAAATAACTAGACCATACTCTCCTAGTTTCTTTATATGAACTTGTTCATTGAATTCTCATATAAAACAAACAAACAGGGTCTATAACCCTCCCCTCTTACAGATAAAGAAATGTAGAGAGAGATTGTAAAAGTCAAATTGTTTGTAAGTGACAAAACAAAGTCTTGAGTGTCAGAGTGTGACTTCGGAGCCCAAATTTTTAACTCCTATACTTCATTCCCTTACTATGAACTTTAAACCATCAGCAGAATAAGAAATAATCTGTATTATTTGCAACATACTTTCTTAAAGAGGAGTTTCTCTACATAACATACTTGTCCTTCTTATGTTTTTTTTTAATCAACTTTTCTTTAATAATTAGTGTGCCATTTTTCAATATATGAAAACTAGGTACAAAAAATAATGAATAAAATATCAAATTTCAATATATGAAAGGGTTCCCTGATTAACTAAAACTTGTTTTTAAAAACTGAGACTTGAAGTCTAAATACACATTTATTTTGTAATCTCTTTGGAATAATGCAGTTATCCACATATGCATAGTGAATATGTAGATTATGCATGGGGAAAGGCAGTTTATTCTTAAAATTTAAAAGATGTTAGCTGGAGAGAGGCAATATGTCCTCTGAAAGAACTCTTGTCACATCTTCACAAAGTCTCAGAATGGGACAATGCTCACTCTAAAATGATGTAAGACTAGACACCACTCTTAAGCTTATTTAATACTGGCCTGTGATCTGCTAAAGACTTTTTTTTTTAATCAGCAGCTAGAGATGAGCCCTTTCTTTAGGTAAATGAGTATGTAAAAGTAACTCACATATCTCTGAAACAGGAACAAAAAGTTAGATCCCAAAGGATCTGCCACCCATACACACAGCGACACAAGGTACATGTTTTTAGTAAGAATAATTTTCATGTTTTCAGCATTTGTATATCTGAATACTTATTAAAGAGGTGATTGAGAAATGTGGGTTATCTGGTATAATGCTAATAAATACCAAACACGTAAATAATAAGAAAATTATTAATAGAACTTTATAGAATAAGAATCAGCTCTCCATCTGTACTGTTTCGAATATAACCTTAGATTATTACGTTCTATTTTGATTTGTAGTAACTTACATTTTTCCAGATCACCAGAAAGATGAAAGGCAAATTGTAATTGAGAGCTTTGCCATAATTAAAACTATTAAAGCAGGGACCAGCAGTTAGCATAATGGCTATGTTGCTGGACTCCCATGTAGTCGACCGTGGTTCGTGTCCCGGACCCGGTGACTTAAAACTCAGGCTGGGCGCATGTGCGTACATGCCCAAGATCCTGAGAGGAGAATGGAGGAGAAGGGATTGCAGCGTGACCATCCCCCCTTGGGGGTGATTTCTTGCTTTCTGTCTCTCTGTCTCTCTCTGGCTTTCTGGCGAGCGCAAGTGCCCTATGGCAAAAACCTCTCAAAAAATAAAATAAAATAAAATAAAATAAAATAAAATAAAACTATTAAAGCAGATATACATCATCTCTCAGTATCTGTGTGGATTAGCTCCCAGACCTTTCTCTTATACCCAAATCTGTTCATGTTCAGGTCCCTTATATACAATGGTGGAGAATTTGCTTAGAACCTATTCATACCTTATCACATACTTTAAATCATCTGTAGATTACTTATACCCAATGCAACATAAATGTATTATGTAAATAATTGTTATACCTTGAAATTTGTATTATTTTCATTGTTGTACTGCTATTATTTATTTATTTCCAAATTTTTAAAATATTTTTGTTAGTTGAATCCATAGATGAAGACCCATGACTGTATAGCACTTTCTAGTGTGTGAATGTGTGTGTCATGTATGTGAATGTGTGAATGTATGTTTCACACAGTGGGGGTCAAATACGTTTGGGTTTGAATCTCAGTTTTACCATATCAATTATGTGTGGCTTGTTTAAATTATCTAAGTTTCAAATTCTTAGTTAACCCATCTATAAAAATGAAGTTAATAGCTCCTACTTCATGGGATAGGAATTAAATGGGAAGTTACATGTAATGCACTTATCACTTAAGCTGGAACAAAGTAAGCATTCACCAAATGTAAGCCATTATTATTATATCATTGTATCCCCAAAGAGCACTCAATTCAACTCATTTAAAAGAATAATATATAGATGCCTGACATTTGATGATTACTTGAAATAGTGTCTCAAACCTAGCTATCGATTTAACCTCATCCTTTTTTCAGTGCTTTAATTTTGTGACATATTTCTGCAGGTAAATATGATGCTTGCAACATAGTGATTCAGACATCTAGGATATTCATAAAGGCAGAACCAACACAAAAGTTATATTTTTAAGCACAGATAATTCATTCAATAGCAACATTCATTCATTTTATATATACACGTTTGTGTGTGTGTGTGTGTATGTAGTTGTCAGACAAGTCATGATGTATTTTTCCATGTTTTTGTGAGCAAAAATGCATCATGACTTTTTAAATTACCCAATATAATGTGCAAAGCACTGCACTAGATGTTGGAAAGAAAAGCATTAATAAAAGTGGAACCCCATCCTCAAGTTCTCAGACAAGTGAGAGAAATAGAAAATAAAAACAAAAACAGTCAACTGTAGTGCAGTATAGTACCATCCTGGGGCAGAGAAGATCCTCTTAATCTAGTCTCAAGAGCCACAAGATGATTTTCATCTTGAGTAATTAACATCACTGTTTGAATTATATCTAAGGTACAACTCCCAACGTTATATTCGCTATCACTGTTTCATTTTCAAAGGCAGAACTTTACAGGAATTCATTGAGCAACAATTATGAGCATCAGGTACAGGGGCACAAAAAAGAGAATGTTCAACCCAGTCTTGATGACTCAGGGCAAGCAATAGAGGAAATACCTCCTGAGCTAAGGATGTGACTGGATTGACCCAGGTATAGGAATAGTGATGGGAGAGAGAGTGACAGAGAAAAAACCACTGTAGTCTGCAACTACTCATGTAAAGACATAACAATATAAAACAAGCTGATCCATTCGAAAACACTGTA